TGATTCTGTACAACTTTCGTTCTTTGAGTTTTGATCAATTCGAATTATTTAAGTATGAAACGGTGTAATTTTATATTTGTTTCAACAAGTTACTTATGATTAAATTATACTAACTTTATTTGTTTTGCAGGATGGTGGGTCTTACTAACTTTTTATGCAGAGCTGACCCACCATATTTCTATTTCTATTTTGTTTATTTTATAATAAATTTATATTTTGTTGTGTACGGACAAGAAACTAAATGCCACCGTGTCTCGAGAAACTACCCATTCGTCTCGGTGCGGTTGGAACTACTTGTCTTGTCCTGTAATAAGAATTTAACGAATTTTTGTTTGTGTCTGGTGGACACGTGGGTGTTGAATCTTGTACTCATACCAGTATACCTGTATACTGGCCCGTTTTGTCTCTTGGCAACTCGGGTGCGTTCTGTTGGAGCGTAGCTGAGCTTCCTTTGCAGGATTAGTAGAGGCTTTGGTGGTGACAAGAAATAACCGTGATCGTAGGACATGTCGTTTGGAGTTCTTTTATTTTTCTTGAGCTTAGGGTTGATACTAATTTATGTAATTATTATTTTTTTTTAATGACTTTAGTATTGGAATAATTTGGCATGGTTTGTAACCGTATTTTATTTAAGTTGTTTTGACTATTTATTGTTACCTTGATGTTGAGGTATTGGTCAGTTATGAATTTATGGTGAATGGTTTGGTTATTGTAGTTTTTTTGTTTCACTCCCAGAATTTGGATGATAGAATATCGATTGGGGTTTAGCCCTAATTTAATATTTAATTGTCCAAATTTTGGGGCGTGACATCGGCCAAAACCTGGTTGGTACCCAGCATGTATTCCCAAGATGAAAAACAGTGTTTTAACTCCCAGCACATGTCTTGCTTTGTCTTGACCTAGTTTTGAAAGAAATGCCGGGATCATTTTCATTCATGTAAAGCTTGTTTTTAAGAATGCATTGCATAACCATCTTTGAGCATTCTTTCTTGTCTTCTTGAAATGCATTTTGTGGACTTTGCCATGTATTTGTAGGTCTTGGACTCTTGCCTTAAGCCCTACACCTGAAGAGCTATTTGAGTGGTATTTTTAATAAAGCTATGTTATAACGTTTGATAAAAGCTTTGCTTTGTTTCGTTTTGGAAAAGTATTTGTTAAGTATGAATGATTATCCCTAGTTTTGTGTCAATTATTATCTTGTTTTGATGACATTTTTGGAAAGTCCTTAGTGCTAGGGGACTATAATACAACTAGTACCCTTGTTTGAGATATCTCCCTTGCCACAGACGACTTTGTGCGGGTAGGTTTGTCTAATCGATTTCGGGTCGATTATTCCCTTGTTTTGTCAGGAATGTCATCCCTTGTATTATATTGATGCTAGTAAGCATCCCTTGAAGCTTTGAAAGACTTGATAGATGAACTTGGTTCATCCCTTGATTTTGTATAAGCTATGATATGTATTGTTTTGATAAAGATCTCGAATATCATTCATTTAAACCTTTATTACTAATATCATTCACTGAGTATCCAAGCTCACCCTCTCCTTATATATATGTAGGTGACGAGCAATAAGGCGATGACGCCTAGATGTCATGTCATTTGCAAGTTGTTTTGGATTCATGTTTCGCTAGCATCTTGAAGATTATGCTTCTTAGCTTTGTAATTCCTTTCTTTTGTATATGTCAGCTTGAGAAGCCTTTTGATCAAGATGTAACATGTACTTTATTTTATTTGTATCCAAGTTGTAAACCATGTCATGATGTATGTCATTTCATTTGACTTATGCACAGCTCTTGTGGACTATTTAGATTTAAATTTATTGCTTCCGCACATGTAAGCCTCATATGTATACTCTGATTGTGTGTGAATCCTTGCAAGTTGGCCTTTGGTAATCTCGGATTACTGGCCATCATGGCACCATTCTACTAGGGGCGGAATGGGGTCGTGACAATTTTGGATATGAAAATTCAAGAACTAATTGCTCGTTTCACTAAGTCGAACACTGAGTTATTACTTTGTATGACATGTTTGAATCCATCTAACTCTTTATCTAGTTTTGACAGGAAAAAGTTAATTCATCTTGCTGAATTTTATCCCAAAGAATTTTCTTCAGTGAAGCTCATGGTATTTAATGATCAACTTGATATATTATCGACATGCTATCCAATACTGAGTTCTCAATGTTGAATGGAATTGCCGATCTTGCTAAGAAAATGGTGGAGACTGGAAGAGACAAAGTATATCCATTAGTGTATTTGCTCTCGATCTTAGCATTAATCTTACCTGTTGCAACTGCTACTGTTGAGAAGGTATTTTCAACTATAAATATTGTGAAGAATCAGTTGCAATTCAGAACAACGAGCATTGACAAATGTATTGTTGGACTTAATTTAATCATTTGAGTTTTTGAAGAATCAGTTACTGAACCGAATGGGTGATGAATGGATGAATGATAGCTTGGTTGTCTACATTGAGAGAGATATTTTTGACGGCATTGACAATGATACTATCATGGAAAGATTTCAAAAGATGAAAACTCGTCGGGGTCAATTATAAAAGTTTAAAATTAAAAACTTTTTTGTAATGAATATTAATTTTTAATGTTTAATATTAGCTCAAAAAATTATTATTATGCTATTGTTATTGATTGGGGAAGAAAAAGAGATTATAATTAATGAGTGCCCCCCCTATATTAAATTCATGGCTCAGCCACTGCTTGGAAGGCATCGTCTTCAAGTATGTTTACAGTTAATTCAGTTTATAATAGAAGTACTGTGGGGCAGGGCTTGGAGACATCAAGGCTGATTTGGAATAACATTTCTCCACCAAAAGTTCAGTTTTTTGGATGGCTCGTTTGGAAAGGTAGAATCAAATCAAAAGCTTTCCTCTAAAGAGTGGGTTGTCTCAATCATGAGGCTAGGACAAATTGTGTTTTTTTGTAGCTGTGAGTTAGAAATAAGGTGTCATGTTTTGTTGCAATGCCCTTTTGTTTAGAAGATCTGAACACATATGCTGAGTTGGTGGGGTTTGCATTGGGTGACCCTTGAAAAGCCAAAGGGGATATTGGATTAGTGAAGAGGATACAAATGGAGAAAGGTTGAAAGTAGAATCTAGGAGGCAATTCCTTTGGCAGTCCTATGGTCTGTGTGGAAGTTACGAAATGAGTGCATTTTTAATGAAAATCAATCTATGTTGGAGGAGGTTTGTGAGCCGATTAAAACTAGAGTTGCATTGTGGATTAAAGTAGCTTCTAGTGAGTTTCAGTACTCAGTGCATGATGTGGTGGCCAATTTGGAATAGGTAAGCTATGCACTACATTAAGGCATGAATAGGAGTTGGGTTGCACTGCACCAGTGTAGTATGATTTAGTTTTGTTTACTCAGTGCATGATTGTTCTTGTGTTTGTGGTTCCTTACCAACTTGAGTGTGTTGATCTAAGGAAAGTCAGGAAGCGCTTGGGAGGATCTGTAAAGATTGATATGGTTGTGTTTTGCAGTTGGGGATCTGTTGTGTTTTACTTAGTACATGATTGTTCTTTTGCTTGTTGAATCCTCACCTGATTATATTCTAATTGGGAAGGTGTAGGCCTAATGTGTTGCTTGTGCACTGTTTTCATTTATTGATGTATCCTTATTAGTTTTAGGTGTGGCTCAAGGGTTTAGTGGATGCTGAAGAAGTGTTTTTGGCCTTGGGTTTACTTAAGTGTCATGAAAAGTGGTGCTTTAGGTATGGATAATGCTGCTAGTGGCTATGCTGCTGTTAGTGATGCCGCTAAAAGGATTATTGATATTGCTGCTTGTGGCTACTGCTGTTTGTGGGTTTTGTTCTGTTTTGGTTGGTTGCTCACCAACTTCTTGCGATGTTGCAGATACTTGAACTTGTTCTATAGTGCCAACCTAGTTGGAATCATATTACTTTGCTATGATGCTTGTGCATCTGTCTTCTTTATTGATGCATGGTGTAATTCATTATTTATCAATAAAATTCTTTTTTTACTAATAAAAAAAAAATCATAATCATAAACTACGAAAGTTATAATCGGACAATACATATGTCTACCATGAAATTTTCATGATTATATATATATATAATAATAATTTTATAATAAAACAAAAAATAAAAAGTAGGCTATTGAGAAATAATAAATAGAAATATACAAACTCACTTTTAAAATTTATTTTATAGATTTAGTGATATATTAATAAAATGATTAGTTGATAATTAAATAATAAATGAGAAAGAATTGACTTAAATATTTAATAGAATACCATATCATTAAACTTAGAAAGTAAATCTAATTTTTAAATATAAAATATGGATCTAATTTTTGTACTGGATGGCAATCCTCATAATAAATGGGTGATGTCGCCACAGTGCCTTCTTTCTTTAGAACTAAGGTCACGTTTGTTTAGCCATATGGAGGGTGGGATTGTCCATGAAGCTATGTTTGGTTCACTCTTGTCGGTCTTGGACTAACACTCAAGTTCTTCAGTGACCAAATTAGCTTTGTTGGGTAGAGGGTGGCATTAAAAAAATAATGAGTAGATCAGAGTGTATTCAATCATTCCCCGATCGAACGAAACAGTGTTAATTTTTTTTTTTAATCCAAATGCAATCCATTTTTTGTAATAAAAAAAATTATATTTATTTTATAATTTTTTTTAATTTAAAAATATTTTTTTTTATTTTATATAAAAATAATTTAATAATCTCATTACTACTTATCTTCCCTACTATCATCAAAACAACTCATTTTTACTTAATTCGCTCACCAACAATCACTGACAATCTCTGTATTAACAATAGAACAAGGATCCTCTAAAAAAAATATTTCTAAAATTTTTTAAAGTGGTGCATTGTATGATTGAGATTTAATGACAAATCACATCAATTTTTTAACATTAAATCTCAACCACGCAATACACCACTTCAGGAAACTTTAGAAAAAAAACACAAAAAAAAAAAAAAAAGCTCTAGAGAGGATCCTTGGTGTTAACAATAATGTGACCTAATGTCGACTCCTCATAAGGAAGAAGAATCAGCAGCAGCAGTTCTCTATCAGCTCAAATGTGGAAAAGTTGTTCGGGGAGTTTAGCTGCCGGTGCACCGCCCGATAGAGAGGGTTTAGTAATTAGTGCTCTCTCTCTCTCTCTCTTCTTTTGTTCTGGCTCCCCAAGATGAACAGATTCTGCGCAAACGTTCCTCTCTGCAATACCTAGTATGTAAGCTCTCTCTTATTGAACAGATTACTGAAACATGTTCAGTCCTTGTCAACCAAACCTATCTTCCAAATGGGAACCAATGCTGGCACAAATGAAGAAGAAGAAAAAGGGGAGATATTATTCAGACCCATGGGGGTTAAAGATTGTACCCCCTTGAATAACCCTTCTTCTTCTTCTTCTTCTTCTTTTGATCAGCAAAAGACTTTATTGATGAAATGGAGCATACAAAGTATGTGGATACATCAATAAAGGGGAAGAACAGGGCTAAAAGCATCATGGGACTACAACTTGGTCCCAACAACGTGGACACCAAGAGAGGAACCGAAACAAATGCTAGCACAAGCCACTGATGTTGGTGAGGAACCAACAAGAGGCAAAGGCCAAAAGCCAAGGACCCACAAGACCAAACCACCCCTGCGCAACTGGAACCTCAAAAAGACAACCTGATCTGGTGGAGATTGGACACAATGTCATGAACTGAATAATCAACCTCCAAGTGCCAATTGGTCCATAAAGCAATCTGCACTTTAATTTTTTCACATAATTCTTGAATATCAGGATGAGCCCCTTTAAACAAACATTCATTCCTCAATTTCCAGACAGACCATAAGACAACAGAAGGGACAATCTGCCAGACTTTGAATACCCAAGACTTGAACTTAACTCCAGACCACCAATGCAACAGGCCTATTATAGCCCAAACCTGATCCCACCAATTTACCATGTGAGACCAGCACTTCCAAACCAGAGGGCAATACAGAAGCACATGATCAATAGATTCCACCTCAGTTTGACAGAAGACACACAGATTATTAGCACTCACATCAAGAGCCCCAATCCTTTGTAGGAAGGTTGAGGTTTTAACCTTGCTGCGCCAAGCCAACCAACAAAAAAACTGCACTTTTGGAGGAGCTAAACTCACCCACACCCCTGCTGGTATTGACAAACCAGGCCCTCTAGCTGCATCCCACCACCACCACACAGAAGATACTGTTAACTGCCCTGAACTCTCTGCTAACCAAGAGCAAGAGTCCTCAAGACCAAATCTGAGATTAGGGGATAACTCCAACATGCCTATCAGCCTCTGCAACTCCTCTTCTTTCCAAGCTAGTAGGTGCCTTCTAAATTGAAGCTGCCACCTCCCTGAGATACTTTTCTTTGCACTGATTTGTTGCAGAGACGACTCCTCTGTGGATAAGCTGAATAATCTGGGAAATTCAGACTTCAAACCTCTGTTGCTTAGCCAGGCATCATACCAGAACTGTATTCGCCATTGAGTGTCATCACTTCCGACATGAAGAGGAATGCTGTATATACTATGACTGCTACTCAACCCTCCAAATTAATCAGTAAAATTCAGTCTGTTCATGCATCCATACGTAGAGATATTCAACGCTCTTACAAGATACTGAAAGCCTTTTCTGTACGGATTATTAATCGACAAGTTGATGGGTATGCAAACACACACACACACCTATTCTAAAATAAATATATTGTTTGTACTGAGAACTGATTGTTGGTAAAAATGAATTGTTGTTTTGTGCAGGAAATTACCATTATCATTTCAGGAGAAACATGTTATGCAAGGCGTCAATTCTTGCCAACCTCGAAGAAATTAGGGTGTTCAGGAATTCCGGTGGGGACATATTTAGGGATCATTACTTATGTGATGGGTCATCTGGTGGTGATAACACTACTGTCCCTGCTGTGGTTAAGTTTGGAGCTGGGAGGGGTTACTTGACACAATTGCTTGTAGACTGTTGGAATCAATCAAGTCTTTCTGGTCTGAGAGAAAGTCATACAAGCTTCAGGTTAGTTGATTTGATTGAACAAAAAGGTTTACATATTCATTGATTTGCTGAACTCAACTTCACTTGTATACACTTTTAGTAAGTTAAAGCATGAGGCAGAGTATTGGAGCACCTGATTGATGCAAATTTTAATCCTTACTTAGATTGATGGAAACCTCATTTGCTTCTTATTGTCATGAAAATTCACTTCAAGGCTGATCAAAGTTTGCAACAAGCTTGATATTAGAATGTTTGAGAATTGACAGTAAGGCTCTTCATAATCCTGCTGTCATGGAATTTTTTTTTTTTTTTTTTTCTAAGTTTATCATTTTCATGCCCTTTAATTTTTTATGATCTATTTTCAATAAATTCAATGAAGACAGATGGTTGATCAAGCATTATGAATATTTTTTTCAGTCTTTCTGCAATATCTAATTAATTAAGAATGCACAATGCACGGATGCACCTGGTAGATAATGTGATATGCAAAATAAATAAATCCACTAGCTTTATCATGCTTCTATGGCATGGATACACACTTTATGAGGTGAAAACATGCATTGCTTCCTCATGCAAGACTGCCTATGACAAAGCACTTGCCTCTTTATTAACGTGCATGGCACACGTTTGCACAACTGCACACTGAAATTTTGAACGGTGGATGTTACATTCAAGCAATAAAAATTGTCAAATTATGGGGCCACTTTTGTAGTGGTTTTGTCTGTACCAGTTACTTACATGCTAGTTTCTAAGCTTAAGAGTGCCTGAAGGATGTGATAAAGGCTGGTAAATGAAAAGCATGACAAACGATGTCATTGACATCTATGTTTTCCAGCAAAACTTTAACAAAGGCCCATGGTTGAATTTTTTTTTTGTAAGAAATCTTGAAGAGTAAGGTAGCTAGAGAGCTTTGGAGTATGCTCAATGTTGCAAAAAGAAGCCTTCATCAGGTTTTTCAGCAAAAATTTAAAAAAGGGGTAAAGTTGAATTTTTTTTTTTTTTGTAAGAACTCTTGAAGATGACACTGTATTTGATGCTTGACTAATGAGTTACCTGGGTGTTGACACCAAGGATGTGTGAGAACAAAAGTGCCGGCAAGTTTAGTTTGCTGTGCCTCTTTGGCTTAAGTGGAGCAATGGGAGGGTATGCTTGATGAGGTGAAATGACTGACTATTTCTTGAAGAAGATTATGTTGAAGTCTTCCAATTATTTAGGTTAGTTAAGTTTTCTGATTCTTTGTTTTCTTTTGTAGATCTTACAGGAGATTCAGATTTTCTAGGAGCATATGTTTTGTTAGCCCCTATATACTCTGCATATGCATGGGTTGCTATCATTGTTGGCGCCCTAAAGTTGTGTTTGGTTCTTGGATTTGGGAAGAGATTTGAAAAAGGAAAGGAACATTTCACACATCTTTTCCCTTCCCCTTTCCAAATCTCTTCCCAAATTCGAGAACCAAACACAGCCTTACTGACTACCTTTGCTTATCAGAGAGGAAAAATGAAGAAGTGACAAAAAAAAGAAGATAAAGGAATAAGCATTCTCAAACAGGGTGATATTTGGGATTTGCTGAAGGGTTTCCTAGTTTGATGCTCTGAACTTGATTGAAAAATAGAGATATTTGGGATTTGCTAAAGGGTTTCCTGGTTTGATGCTCTGAACTTGATTGAAAAATAGATGATAAATGTGCTAAAGTAATGGTTACAAATATAGAAATTTTATTAACTTAAAAAACGCATACCTAGTTTGATTTTCTAAATTTGATTGAAAAATAGATTACAAATGAGCTAGTAAGTAATGGTTACAAATATGAAAAATAATAAACTTCGAAAAACATAGGCACCACCATTGCGTATGTGCACGCATAGACAGAGAATGGCTTTCGGCCTGAGTAAGTTCTGAAATTCTGAGCCAGTGTAGGCTTGCTTGCCATTTGCATGATCTTGGATTCCATGTTGAGCATTACCCTTGGTTTTGGTTGACAAAGAAGCCAAACTTGAGTGACATTCATATAGGCTTATGTTCATTGAACGTCTGGCTTTGAGAAGGATGTTACTGAGAGAATAGGCATTTAAATGTAATGTTCTTTAAATGCTAGTGGGAAGTGATGAGAGGATTTGTGCAAGCTTTTGAAAGCCATTACTACTAATTGAGGATTTTGTCTGATGTCCACTACTTTCCTGTCCTGTCAAGAGAAATAAGGAAATGGTAAGATAGAATTGCTTGATACACTATAGCTTATTAAGTGGTAGGATAATATCCACAATTATTATTAAAATAGTGTGTTCACATTCTAACAAATTGCAATTTCGGCGATTAAAAAAAAATTAGTTGTCAAAAATTGTAGAATTGGCAACCAAAAATTAAATTAGTCGGCAAAAGTATAATATTTAACTACAAAATTTTTTTAGTTGGGGTATATTGATTATTGAAGACTAAAAAAAAATTTGTCGCTAAAAATGTCACAATTGGCGACTAAACAAATAATTTAGTCGCCAAACAGTTAGTTTTGGCTACTAAAGTTATTTAGTCGCCGAATGAGAAACAAAAATTTACTTTTTATTTTTGGCGACCAAGAAACAAAAATTTACTTTTTATTTTTGGCGATCAGAAGTTTGGCCGCCAAAAATTTATTTTCAGCGATAAAAAAATATTTTAGTCGCCAAAGAATTAAAATATTTAGAGGGAGACATTTCAAAATTTGGAGGGATTTATAAAATTAATTGGCGACCAAAATTTTTAGTCGCCAATTGTGTAAAATGACCAGAAAATACACTTTTGGGCGGAAAAAAAAAAATTAGTCAGGAAAAAAATACTAAGGAGTTGGGCTTAAAAACATGTCAATCTACACTCACTCTCTCTCTCTCTCACGCGCGCGCGCGTCTGCCTGTAACAACCCGATCATGTATTTACTCAAATAATCATCTAATTGCGTTTTTATGTGCTAATTGGTTATGTGTTTGATGTGAATTATAAGGAATTTAAAATTATATCTATTGATTGTAGAAAATCTGTTGAAATTACAACTTTATAATGAAAATTGAAAGCCTTGGAGATGTTAGAAACCAAAATTGATTGAATATTTGTGATCAGCATGATTTTTAGAGCCTAATATGAAATTTTGTAAAAATCTAATTCAGAATGAATTTAATTAAATATTTTATATATGTATGTATATTTATGAGCTTAACTTAGACTCAACAAAAAGAACAAAAATATCTGGAGAGAAAGAGAGAGTTCTAGAGAACTCAAGAGAGGAAGAAGAAGATCAAGAAAGGATTGTAGGAATCTTCTTAAATCATCAACCCTAGGTATGAATTTCTTCCTTATTTCTTGAATTTGAGCCATTTTCACTCATAATCCTCTAAGATTGAAGCTTAAATTGAATGAACTCATGGTAGTAACATGCATGGCATATTTTTCATGGAGGTTTTGTTCATACACATGATCTCTTGCATGAGTCTTGAAAATGGAGGAAGAACCTCATGGATTTTGAGAAAAAGGAACTCAAGAGTGCAAGAGTAATGATTTTATACTTCAATTCTTGAGTTTGATCTTTTACATGGAAGATTGGGTTTGTTTTGAACTTATGAATTCTATTGGAAGTTAGATTTGCCAAATTCCAGTTGGTTTTGTGAATTTTGGGGTTTGAAAAACATGAAAATGGAATTGGTGTTTCAAAAGCTTGGGTTCCAAACACTTAGCAAATTTTAGAACAACTTTACACCGAGACTGCTCAAGTGGCCCAGCCCACCGCACGAGTGACCAAGCGTCAATCGCCCAAAACTGCATTCTGCTTAACCACCGCACGTGGGGCCAACAGGACAATTTTCCGATTTCGTTTTCATTCCGTTGTTCTGACTTCCAGGCCTTCATTGCATGGTTTTCACATGTAATATATCCATATACATATTATAAGCATGAAAGAAATTAAAGAAAGACTGTTAACACTTTATCGGATATGTAACAAATGAACCGACTAAACAAATTAAATGAAATGTGTTTTGTTGTGCTTGGTTATATTTCTACAGGTTAAACCATTAAGGTGGATCATCCAACCAAGCACTGTGAGTAATATTACTGTAAAGATATGTTCATATGAAATATATTTGACATGTTATTGATTGAGTTATGATTTCTGAAATGTTATTTTGATTGAGTGAATGAATATCTGTTTTTGAATCTATCATAGCATCCAAATACAATCCCAAGTCATGGGGGACGACACATTAGTGCAGGTCTATGACATACATGTGATTACGAGATCTCCTTTGCCACTTGACAAAGTGGTGATGTGTTTAATCGGTAATCGGAACCAATTACTCTAGTTGGAAGACATTATGATATGTTCTTTTGGATGTATCATTACTATATTCTGATATGAGAATAATTGTGATCTGTTTTGCTTTACGGATATGGTATATTTGGAGTTTGTTCACTAACCTCTTTACTTTAATGTTATTCACTGGGTTTTAGCTCACTATTTGTATTTATATATATAGGTGAGCGTCAAGAAGCACAAGCCCAGAAGGAACCCTCTAGCTGAGCCACTGGAGTTTAAGGCCTTGGAGTTTTGTTATGGTGCCTCCGAGTTGAGGCTAGGTGTAGAAGACCGTTGTTAAGTTTTGATCATGTTATGTTGAATTTTTTATACATAAGTATATGTATTTGAATGTTTTTTTTATACAAGATATTATGTGTGTAATACAGGGTGGATAAATTAATGTTATGTGCATGTGTTAGTTCATATAGACTCACAGCTCATTGGACTACTTGTTGTATATTGTTATTATTAAGCTTCCGCTAGCCACTATTATTTTGATTTGTACAGGAAGACCTTTGGTAATCTCGGATTACTGGCCGGTCACCTCACCGACCCTTACGGGGCGGGGTTCAAGCCGTGACACTGCCCTCCTCCGATTCTCTCTCTCGCTTTTGTCTCCATCACCATCAGTACAAGAGCACTATCGGCGCCAACGCCCGTCGCACACAAAGACCATCACAAACCAGCAGCCTATATCATCTTATCTCGCAGTCACGATCCACCATTGGAGCAATACCCAAGGTATGTCCTCTCGATTTCTCTCTTTCTCTCTCTCTCTCTCTCTCTCTCTCTCTCTCTATGTATCTCTTTATCTCAGACTGTTTCCCTAATTTCGGCCTTTAGGGGTTTTTTCTTCTTCCACCCGCATACCTTCTTCACGCAAACCTACCCTCAAATCGATCCAACCATTGCCATTCATATAGTGGGAAAATGGTTTCCTCAACTCTTCCTGTCTCCACATTCATATCTGCAAAATCCATTTTTGAAACCCCTCTTCAAACCTTCCTTTCCTAGATAATCGAAAACACCAAGTGTTTATTTTAAATGTGGTATAAAAAGCATGATTTGAGATTAAACGTTTTGATTTTAATTGCCTTGCATTTATATGAAGTTGGGTTTACTCTGAAATGTCCACAAATAGACCATTTCGTAAAAAGAAGAAGATCAAAATTGTCAAGGTAAGTTCTGAAATGGAAGCATCTATTTACTGTTCATGGCTTTAGAGTATAAATTTTTACCCAATAAAAACAATTCAGACTTTAAGAGCCAAAATATTTGCCTAATGTTATTTTGTATCTCGTAGGCCAATCTAGAACCTTCTTGTTTGTCAACTTCCATTGACATCTAAGGTGAATTTTGCTCTTTCCATTGCTTTAGTAATTGTTGATAACTATGGAAAATAGCTCTTAGTAAATATTTAAATGAGAATTGTTACAATGTTAATTTTGCAGAAGTAGCAACCTATTTTTGCTTATGTGTTCTATAAGCCAGTGAAAATCCATTAGAAATCCTTGCTCTCTGTTTTGTTATTCTAACCAAGTTTTGGGGGTAAATAATCATGTTGTTGTGTTCCTCCGTGTCTATTATTACACTATTGATAGATTTTGCAAATTCAGTTCTATAGCATAGACATTATGCTGATATTGCTGAATATAATAAATCTACTATCCAAAGGCATGTGCTTAGTTGAGATGTATCTTGAATTTTGGTTCAACTATAATTCAGTATGTTTCAAGCAATAAATGATAAAGAGTCTTGTTGGAGTGCACACACAAAGTTATTAAGCAAAATAGAGAAGGTATGATTAAGATATATACCTATTTGATATTTTACTTGTTGGATGCTTATCTTTCCTTTCATTTTATGCACTATAGATCTTCATTCAATGTGTTTAAATCATGGTTAGAAACCTGCTACCAATGTCCTTGAATCCGTAGTTCTGAAATATTGTCTTATGATAGATATTTTGGAATATGTGCCTAATTATTATGGGGAACTGTAGTCTTGCTGCATATGGTGACAATTCATATTACCTTGGTGCTATGGCATATTATTGTTTGTTTGAATATTGTCTAATTCAAGTATTTGCACCAAATGCTCGTATTATCTAGTGTATTTCCACGTGGCATTTGGTTTAACTTATATAGTTGCAGGATGTTTATTTTGATTCAACCTTTGTCTCCTAAGTAGTACAGCAGATGTGTGATAATTGATACATAGATCAGCTATTTTGCTAAAATTTCCATGTAGATGAGCAAGTGAAGTGTTAGTGCTCACTACTTGGGAGTTTGTGTAACATCAAGTGGGGAATGAGTCTGACATTAGGAATTCTAAATTCTTCTTCTTCTTTTTTTAATTAATTTTTTAATAACAATTTGATAATTAAATTCAGCAAGGATTAGGATGGTCTGCCAAGATTATCTTAGAGATTCACATGGGCTAGGTTTGTGGATGGGCATTAGAAAGGTTAGCAGGAGTGTTCCATGCTAATTGGTTAAAAAGGTATATTAGTTAACAGATTTGATGGATAACAGAAATCTCAACCCTCTATTCCCCTCCCCCCCCCCCCCCTCCCCCCACTATGGATCAAAAGAGTCTTCCTTATGCAGAGGTCCAACCCCATGGCAAATGACTTTCCTGCGAAGTGGCTTTGGACTACTAGTGGTTGGAGCCAGTGGCATAAGACCATGTAACCTAGCCTTTGGAGCAGACCAATTCAACCCCAACACTTTTATTTTGTGATTTGTGTGTTTGTGCATGAAAGTGTATGGGTTTTGCATTTTGCTTTTCTCAAATTCATAACTGCAGTTTTATCAATTTGTGATTTTCAAATCAAATGTTGGCTGATTGGTGTCAAGATTCCAAATTGAAAACAATCACAAAATGTTGAAACTTTAAACATTGTTTATTTGCTCATGACTTGAATTTGATTTAAGGTAACTCTTTTTCTCTTTCGTGCCTTGTACCATTGAAACATTGCATGCATATCTATGAAGCACGAATACCTTGCCACATTTCATATACTGGTGTCCAACATGCATCAAACACGGACACGTTAAATCATAGTCATTACCTTAGTTTATCTCTCATACAGATTTCATTTAGTCGTTACCTCAATTAAGGGATTAAAGTGCTGGAGTTTACGGGAACATATGTTCCTACCCATTGTGCTACTTGGTTATTCGATGACATTTTAACTTGATATATTTTTCTAGAATTTACAGGAATAGTGCAATACGTATGAGAGATAAGCTAAAGGTAAGCCAGTTGATGCCATGATACAGTTAGGCTAAATTGAGTTTTGGATTCTTAGCGGGGAGAATTCAGTTTTCTTCTACAGTTCTGAAAATAGTTTCGTTATCATCATGTTAAGTAAGGGGAAAGTAAGGTGAGTTTGGTTATATGCATGGAGCATCACCTACATCTACTTAATCATTTATGTTCGTGATTTTAAGAATAGGTAGGTATGTAAGAAAGTGGAGTTTTTGTATTTGAAAGTGTGTAGAAAATTTGTATTAATAGGTAGAAAGTTAGAATTATTAATTTTATAATTGTTATAATTCGAAGAGTATAATATATCAGAATTATTAATTTTATAATTGTTATAATTTGAAATGTCAATTTTATTGAATAAGTGCTAATGGTTTTTATTTTATTTTACTTTTTATTTTTTTACAGATTATTTTTGCATGGATTATTGTGGATATTTATTTTTTTGTACGAAGAGCATTTGTTCTATATATGGACGACATTTATTTTTGTACAATCCTCTGTTTTTCAAATTCAGTGTTTTTGTATGCAATATTTAACTTAGATGGATTGTACTTGGTTGGTATGGATTTATATAATATTTGGAATATAATGTTACAAGTTAAAGTTTTTGGATAGTTGATAATAAAATGAGCATTATTGATAAATGATAATGGATTTAGATTATAAAGATTACATGTTGCATTGATAATGAAATGTATATAATTTAGAAATTAATGAAAAAATTCAATTTGTGCATTTAAAAAAATTAATAAATAGAATTTTTGGCGACTAAACATTTTATAGCCAAAAAAATTAAAATGGAACTTGTTAGCGACTAAACAGTTAGTAGCCAAAAAAAAAAAACAAAAGTTTTTTGCGATTAAAAAATTAGTAGCTAAAAAGGAGCACTATGATTTTAGCAACTAAAAAATTGGTAGTCAAAAAGGAGTCACGTTTTTAGCGACTAAAAAATTGGTAGCTAAAAACCTGAAGATGAAAAATATTTTCTTTTTAGCAACTAAATATTTTCTTTTGGGTGACTAAATTTTAGTCGCCAATTCTTTTGCCAACAATTTGTCAACGACCAAACGGGCGACTAAAAATTTTAATCGACAAAAATCTTTGATGATTAAAAAATGATTTTGATGACTATAAAAGTGTAATTTGTTGTAGTGTCATTAGCGCTAGTGAGGAATAATGAGGGCAAGCTTTTGGCTTTGCTCGATATTCAATGCTATCCTTTTAGAAATATGGGAAAATGGGATGATAGTATTGGTTTTTGTTAAATGAGATTGTCCGTATTAAGGAATGATGAGGTTTTGAAGCTTTTGGTTTTGCGTGATATTCAGTGCTATCCTTTCAGAAATGTGGGAAAATGAGATGATAAAGAAGATAGGTCCTTGGAAAATGGAACGATATTCATCTATTCCTTTTATTCTCTTTTTTCCTAAATGTTTATAATTTTTGATATTGATGGGCATCCAAGAGAGCCCAGCCCACAATCTAGGTAATACTGGACCAGGACTAACAACATAATGGGCACCCAAGAGGATCCGGCCCACGACTCAGGACCCAACCCACGAATTAGATATTAAAACCAGTAACCTTGAGAAACCAATGATGAACCAGGACTAATAGCATTCAAACTCCTGTCGAGCAGGGAATCAGCCATGTAGGCAGATAAAAATCCTATAAAGTTATTGTACCCACACATCAGCCATTAATAAGGCTCTTGTAGCATTAAATGCAACAACCCCTTCACGTCGGAGGAGGTAGACTCACCATGAACGATGCAAGCTAGAATACAGACTTTCAGCCAACAAAATAGTCTGAAAATGACAAGGAAATGATGAGCAAAGGATATAAGGAAACCTTCGAGATACGTTAAAAGTTAAGTTTTTCCTTCGTCTCATCTATCTATCTATAATCACCCATTATCCTAACCTAACTTGATCGTCGGAGAGTCCGTCGGGAAATCCCTTTCCCCTCCATACCTTTTTGTAGGCTCATTTGGAAAACACCGAGGCCAGCAGACCTGTTGGAAGTGTGGATCAGCCCAACCCATCCTTCGGTTGGAATCGTTGCATCATCATAAACTAATTCTTACTTGTAGAAACATAAGCCTCAAGACCTTCATCAAGATGTGCTTTCTTCTACTCTGATGTTCCTTTATTAGTCCATGCTACAGATATCACATATGAGCTAGCTAGTAATTTTCAGTCGTCTTTATTGATGATAAATCCTAGTGGTGTTTAACTAATTCTTTCTCATCATTAGCTCACCCTGGTAAGTCCTCTTCTAGAAACAATTTATATCTTTTACACCTGATCTCATTTTGTGTAAATTTTTAATAGAGTCTTAACAGAATAATTAAATGTAATAAGATAATATTTTTAATGAATAATTGTTAAATTTTAAAATTTAAGAAGTCAAAATACAAATGAATTATACTTTAAAATGATTTATTATAATTTACCCTTTATTTAAAAGTGGAATCTTATGGTGCAGAATGGGACTTATAATAGCATGGGCATCACAAAGGCTCTGTTTGACTGTCTAGATTGGATATAAGGGTTTTAGGAAGATATGTAATATCTAACGATGAAAATGAGATAGATTATACATACTGTGGGATCATTTATACTATGTTTGGTTAAGACAAGATATAGGATAAAATAAGAAATTTTTAACTTTTGGATAAAAGGTGAGCCCTATCCGACGGTGGGGATATACAATATCGTGGGGGGTTAGTATTGCATATCCCTCTTTTGCATCGTATACTATCCGGATTTCCTATATTCGGAACAACCAAACACGGGATAAAGGGAAACAAAAAAAATATGTAAGACCCATTTTATATTATATTCGGTCTCACACCTATATCTGGCCTTTATATCCAGTAAACAAACATGGCCTTGTTTGAACATGTTTTGTTCATTTTCTAAAATGTATTATTGAGAAAATTGATGATAAATCCAATCTAAAGAATGTATAAGGCATTAGGTTCAGTGGATATTTTTTATTAGTGAAAGGTTCATCTTTTGTGAAATAGTTTGATGAGAAGTCTTTTGTTATTTTGGGAGGACATTTTACTTTCAATTTTACCCCTTAATTTATCTATTGATTTTTTTTTATCCATTGACTTTTTTTTTGACTATCTATTCTAATTTATATCTATCTGTTCAAATTTTTTGTCTATTTGTTAAAATTTTTTGTTTATTTGTTCAAATTTTTATCTATTTGTTTAAATCTCTGGATTCTATCTATTCAATTTATTTTTTCTATCTGTTGAAATATAAAGCTAAACAAAATCCTATGTGTTGAGCCAAAATTTTACTATTTGTTGAAATTTACCACCTAATCTGTTAAATTTTCCTATCTATTGAGCCTTCGTTTGGAATGTGGGTTCACTTTTTTATTTTCTAGTTTTTTGACTATTTTAGTCTGAGGTTAAAAAGTCTCATTTGTGATAGACTTGTTGGCTTTTTTAACTTTTATGAGAAAAAAAAATAAAATAATTATAATTTGAACGTGAAATTTTATCCTATTTTACTAAAATAATCTATTTTGTCCTATATGACTATTTTAGCCCAAACCTTCATACCAAACATAGCCTTAAATTAGATTCAAACTATTGAAATTATCTCCCTCTTCTTCTTCTTCTTCTTCTTCTTCTTCTCTCTCTCTCTCTCTCTCTCTCTCTCTCTCTATATATATATATATATATATACAAATTAGAGACATTGTTATCTGCTTGATCAGATCACTATCAATACAACCTATCCTTTTACTACAGATCTGTTCAATAACAAATCTATCCAGATCTGAGCCATTACAAATATGTTCAATGCTATTACGGATTTGTTTCTCATCATCAACAAATCAACAACTAAAAAAAAAATCATCATCAACAACAGATCAACAACAACTAAAAAAATCATCATTAACAGATAATAAAAAAATAAAAAAGAACTTTTATTTTTTCTTTTGCAGTGATCTGGGATCCAATCTTCGAAGGCGGCAATGAAGGCGGCAAATTGAAGTCGGATCTTAGCTAGGGCTTCAAATCAGAGTCAGATCCAAACTAAGACTAGAGAGAGAGAGAGAGAGAGAGAGAGAGAGCCTAAGAACCGCATTTAGAAGGTTCAAAGCCGATACGATCTCGCTCTGTTCTTTAGTTACAATCAAGATTCTCACATTTTTTATATATTTATCTACAATCTGTTCAAAAATACATATATGTTAGGGATTGAATGCAAGAATCACAAAACAAAATGATTTCAT